TTGTTGCGCCGGGCCCGGTCTTCGATATTCGCTAGCTTGGTGTCATAATTTTTATGCAAGGAAATCCAGCCTAATGCCGCCAGGTCCAGAGCTACGCCCCTGACTGCATGACATTATGCCTTGTCCGACTTGGATGCTGAATATTGGCTTTCCCATTCGATTTCCCCATTAATGATTTGTAATCATCTAATAACTTGTTTTTACCAAGTTAGAGAGAAATTCGACCTAAGCATAACATCTATTAAAGAACATTTTGGTGTTTCAGACCAGGATCCGAATTTAAAGAAATTGGAAATGTCAGAATTAGAAAAAGTCTATCAGTTGGACCTTGGCAGAAAACATACCATTACATATTCTATATGTTCCGATTCAAATACATATTAAGCTATGGATGTCAAATGTGTTAAGAACAGATGCTAGTTTACTATTCTGTAACATGAGGAATTTGGCATGTGCTGTATAGGGAGATTGAGGGTACGGTTAAATTAAAAGTTATGACGTAATTTTGCCTATAAGTAACGGAGGACAAATGACCACGTTCTCTTCTCCTACTATTCGCTCTCCTCTCCTGGTGTGTCCTGAATTGATGATACAAAGATGACTACTTAAAAAGGTCTCTCACAATCTGTAACGTCGTTAAGAAATACCTTCTGTTAAGTATATTATTGTTTGCACTTGAAGTAGAATAAATGCATATATTTTATAAAGAACGTCAGATTGTGTATTTGTACTTTTTGGTTAATATAGAGGTATATTATCCTGGCAGCCCTTTAACCCAAGAAGATATATACATAAGAGACTTATTTCAATCAACTTAGAAAACACAAATAAAGATATTAAACTCTCTATCACACTATATTGGACTATATGTTGAGAGTGCACTAGGTGGGGTATACACAATAGATGACTGGCATGACTTCCTTCTTATGTTGAAAGGCATTACACAATGTGTTAACCATCTGAAGTCTCGTTATAAATTAATGTACAGGTGGTACCTAACTCCATCTAAGCTTTTTAAAAATGACACTTTAGTACCACAAGTAAATGTTGTGATACTTTGTCTTAAAATGCCTAATAGGTATTTTCATTCATATTTTCTTGTCATGCCCGTGGATTATCTAATACTGGCAAAATACCCTTACATTAATTAATAGTATTACAGAATTCAACATGGTTTTATCTCCAAGTCTCTGCTTACTTAAAAACTCCCTGCTAATTGACTGCATTTTAAAAGAATTATGCTGGGTCACCTTCTGGTGTCAGCTACATCAGCAAAGCCAAAGTATTATAAATCACCTGTTACACCTTCGGTGAATGAATTTATCTTAACACTCTTTCATAACAGAAGTCATTTGCATTCCATCTGAAAAAAATGTCAATATGGATGTAAACTTGTTTTATAGCCCCGTTTTCTTTCACTTTTTTTTTTAGTTAGTTTTTATTGTGTTACTATTATTGTAATTGTTACATTATACACTTATTCTACTACGTATTACTATCAATATGTACAATTATTTTATGGTTTTAAAACAAGAAAAATATATATATATATATATAGTCCAGCTGTGATTCCAGCTGGCCAGGATTTGTTTTTTTTCCAGATCAACTATTTTAGCTTCAATTTTGAGTTTGGTGGGTAACCCAGATATCTCTATAAAAAAACAAACAAACAACTTCTAAAAACCATGTTACAAACTACACTGTAGGCGCTCTGATAACAACAATAATGTACCTTTACAGCCTCCCCCCAGTGTGAGTGTGTGTCAGCCGGTTACCATATATAGGGCAGGCTATTGCTGAGTGAATAACACGTTATATAACACGCAGCCCGCCCGCTCCTTATACGGAGAGCCCCCCCCCCCGCGACAGCTGTGACGGGGGATTACCGGACACCGCTCGGGATATGTCACCGGGGGGAGCGGCTCTAGCCGACACTCACAGTGTAACACGGTCTACACCCGGGGGGACACCGAGCCCCCCCAGCCCCCGCCTGTCCCGTTTGCGAACAGCTGCTGCGCGCGCACCCACCCACAGCCCGTCAGCGGCAAGCCGCTCTGCAACGTGCTCATCCGGGCATTGCTGCCACACGGGGGCGGGGCCACCTGACAGGGGGGGCGGGGTAACTGCGTCACGGCCCAAACACCCCCCGCATGGCTTCACTAAAACAGCGCGAATAACCGGACACGGCTATAACCTGCGCTGTCAGCCTCTGTGGCGGTAATAAAGCCGGGAGCCGAGTGCGAGGCGGCCGGAGGAGAGCGTTAAACCGAGCGCCCGAAACCACGGGGATACGTCATCGCAGCGAACACACTAGAGAAACGTGAGCGGTGCTGGACACGTGACAGGCCGCCGAGCCAATCGGAAGGCGGTGGGCGGGGCTAGGTGATGTGTCTGGCGGTGTGCTTGGAGAGCGCACTTGGAATGTTCAGTCGGAAGCCGTTTGGCTGCGGGTTAGTGAGGTTCTATTGACTCTGTGCACCCCCAATACTAACCTCCCTGTGAGTGGGACCTGCTCCCCCAAATACTGCATCCTTGGTTCCGAGCTCTGACGGCACAACATGATAGAGAAACCTCTGCTCTCCACTCACAGCCAAGGAGACCCTTTATTGTATACCCCTTCTAAAGAGAGTCGTAGAGGATAAACCTTCTCCTGCTGCATTCTCTATTTATTACAACTGGGCACTATGAGCCTCAGTTGGACTTGATCTCTCAATTCTTGTTTTGCTTGTGAGTTTATTGACTATTTTTTTCCCCTTTTGCTACATTTATTTTTGTGTGTTTTAATACAAAAAAAGAACAATGGGGGTGAATGCTGTGCACTGGTTCAGGAAGGGGCTGAGACTCCATGATAACCCAGCTTTGATGGAGAGTATAAGTGGAGCAGACTCCATCAGATGTGTCTATATTCTGGACCCATGGTTTGCTGGATCGTCCAATGTGGGCATCAACAGGTGGAGGCAAGTGAAATTCACATTTATTGTTATGGTGTTCAATATACTATACAGGCATAGGTAACCTTCGGCACTCCAGATGTTTTGGACTACACCTCCTTGATGCTTTGCCAGCGAGCATTATTAACATCTGGAGTGTCCAAGGTTTCCTATCCCTGTACTATTACTGCATTGGCTAAAGTAATTTGAGTTTCAACATTTGTTAACTAATGTAACAACATAAAACACTTGTTCCTAGTGATTTTGAAAGAAACCATAGGTTTCTTGTAAAATCACATTTTCTAAACTGATCTGTAGAGCTTTGGCAACTAAATGAAAAATGTTTACAATGCTGATACTTTGTCTTAAAATGTACAAATGTTTCCCTATTAGCTCTCCATTTTCTGGTTTAGTGAGACACCAGAATACATGATGTATAGAGACCCACCCTACAGAAAATGCAAATCCATTAAGACCGTGGTTCCCAGCCCAGTTCTCAAATACCCCTTAATAGTCTAGGATTGAGGGTTACCCAGTTGTGTCTAAGGTGGTTTTAAAAAAAAAAAAAATACTTTTTAGACACGGGTACTCCCTAAATACTGGACTGGTAGGGGTTACTTGAGGACTTGATTGGGAAATCCTGCAGAATGTTTATCTCACATGGTTAAAGATGGTATCTTAGCAGTTAGTCACCAAACAATACATAATTGGGAATTACAAATTGCTAGCCCAGATAGCTGAGATTAGAAAATTGCCTATTTTGTTAAAAAAAAATTAAATTCCCAGGCTGATAAGTATTTAATGCTTTAGTACATGGGTGGCAAAATGTAGGCTTCCAGCTATTGTAGAACTACAACTTCCAAGAACCTAGCATGCAGAGACTGCCCCTTTATCACCTGCATTGATTATTTTGAATTAATGTTTGGCATCAAAATAACTTTAGCTGAAAGTGCTATTACTTGCAGTGGCAGATCCACACTATGGTTCTATAACCAGTGCCCAAGGCAAACCTTCCACATCAGTGCAGCACCTGGAGGCGAGTTAGGTGGCAAGGAGACAACTTTATGGTTAAAGGGACACTAGGCACACAGACCAATTCCTCTAATTCCTTAGTCCCGCAGTGTAAAACTTTGCAATGTTTACATTAAAGGGTTCAGACTGCCTCTAGTGGAAAGCACTTTTTTTTTTTTTTTTTAATAGGGTAGGTCTAATGCGCAGACAGTGACTTTAAAGCAGAACTATCACCTTTTCTGGAAAGTAACAGACTAAAACTTTGAAATGATCTTACTTTTGATAACTTTTTTTCATGTGACACACTTTGTTCTTTTAAAATGTATCCTAAAAAGTCAACAAGTGATGTCACAATCCAGTTCAATCCAATCACTGACAGGACACACAAAGCAAAGAAGCAGGAGAACACAGATGTAATTGGGTTTTGTTTTTTTCCATTAAAGGTTCACTATAGTGTCAGGATAAGAAACTTTTTCCTGACACTATATCATCCTTAGGACCCCCCACCCTCAGGGTACCCCTCTCTTGGCGCTGAAGGGGTTAAAACCCATTCAGCCACTTACCTTTGTCCGGCGCTGGTGACCTCTCATCCCCCGCTGACGTCAGTACCTGAGTGGAATGGAATGCGCATCCGCGGCAATAGCCACACGCATTCAAACAGTCCATAGGAAAGCATTTCTCAATGATTTCCTATAGACTTTCTGCGCGCTGGATGCGAATTTTGCATCGCAGAAGCGCCTCTAGCGACTGTCAGGAAGACAGCTACTAGAGGTTGGATTAACCCTGCAATGTAAACATGGCAGTTTCTCTGAAACTTAGTCAGCTTCCAGCCTTGGAGGCTTTGTAGACCAGCACGGTAAACTTCATCTGGTGCTGGAGTAAGTTCATTTTTATTTTTAAAGCTTCATAAGGGTTTATTTACTAATGCCAAGTAGGGCATTGTAAATTGGTATAAAAAATAATTTTAAAAAGGTTTAAGTAAGAGTTTAATGAAGCATATTTGGTGTTTGAATAATGCCTCTGTACTCTTATTCCTCAAAAGAAGTTAAATCACTCTTTTAGTTTCTTTGCATACATGTCTAGCCACATATCCCTTGGCTATGATTCAAGTTTGTTATAATCATTTTTTTTTTTCATTTTTCTTAACTATGTTATATAGTTTTTGTGTTTGTTTTGTAGTTTTAGTTTTACTTTATTGGTTCGGTGTGGTGTTTTGTTTTATCCCATAGCTTGATTTAAAGTATGCTCATCATCTACAGCAGACCACAAACTTAATGATTTATGTGTACTCTACTGGGATTTATTGGAAAAATATAACACACATACAGTGTTATTTACTAAAGTGAGAATTTGAAGAGATGTTTTTAGTTTAGCAATTTTGACCTTTAAATTCATGTTGAATTCTCACTTTAGTGAATAACCCTGATAATGTTTGACAGTCACTACCTAACCTAAGTTGTGTTCACTGCTGAAGCTGTGAAGCATTCAGTAATGCCGAGCATGTGTAGTACACACTGGCCTTGCAGGATAACTCTCATTTAGAGGCTGACACTGTGCAGTTGTTACAACTTACCTCTCTGGTGGTATCTGAGTCGTGGCTGCCTGTACGCGTGAATACAAGGGGACCGCAACCTCTGAACTTAAGTCGTGTCTCCTGGGAGACGTACACGATTATTCCATGGCATGGGACAGCACTGTGGGCTTGACTGGAACTCTGTAAACTCCCATGGCATCCCCAGACCTCTGACAGCCCATTTACCAATAAGGCACCCTATTTAAACAGTGAACAGCTGATCTGTCATTGCTCAGTGCTACGGTACATCCCTGCAACTACCTGATATTATTTTGCTTTCCTGGTTTACCAGACCTTTGGCTTGCACTAATGCTTCTGAACCTTGATGCCTGGATAGTTGACTTTTGGACTGTCTGACAGCTTGGATTTGTTTGCTTTGGGCTTTATATTTTTTTTCAACCTCCGCAAGTTCTCCACTTTGTGTTTCATAC